TAAATCAAAACGATGAAGAAAATAACCTTAAATCAAAGGATCATACAGTCGATACCTAAATCAATCATAACCCTGAATTACTAAAACCTCAATCATCCACTCGATCCCTAAATCAATTCAGAAGAAAAAGAAACGCAAACCCATCTAATCAAAACGATGAAGACAAAAATCCTGAACCGATCTAAACATCAATTGTGAAAACGACGATTGATATATCCGATAAAACCGAGGAGAGATGGAAAAGAGAAGAAACGTTTACCGTCGGCATCTCGATCCTCTAACACCGTCAATGATGCCACAGAGATTCCAAAGAGTCATCATCGCCTTCAACGGATTCGACAGAGAGAACGATGATGAAACTTGTGTTGGGAAAAAATGAGGAAGGAAGGAATAAGTTTTTCCCCCAAATTGAAGAACCAATCATGTGCATCCACCTGTTTTTAAGAACTATCTCTTACAATTCTAATAGAAGAGACTAATATAAGAGATGTCTCTTAAACTTTTACACGCTCCACTGATTAAAAATAATGATGTTTATTCCTAAGAGACGCGGCAAGAGACTGCGATGTTCATGGTCTAGACCTTATATTGGAGTATATTTCTCATATTTACATCTTGACACACGTATATGTACTAATTACATTTTCTGCAATATCTTTTTTTTTCTCTTGCGCATTAGGGAAGAAAAAAACAGAGATCGTATCTTCCGTACAAACATGTCGGATTCTCTACAAATGTCAATGGTCTTATGAGGATTGTTCACACTTTTTTTTTGTTTTTTTTGTTAAAGGACTTCCTTAAATAGATAGTAATAAGGGGTACAAGCATAAAAATAAAACAGGCCACAAAGGCCCAACAGGCCCAGTTAAGAAAAAAACTAAACCAAGAAGCTATAAACCAGACTAAACCGGAAAAACCGAAATTCTAAGCGAAAAAAGCTCTGCAGCAGCTGCTGCCACATCCGCCGTCGAAAAACGATTCGCCGAAAAGACCTGAACTTGGGATCTTGAGAGAGTCACCAACCTTGCAAAGAAAATCGGAGAGAGGAGCAGGTACCTAGGCTATGAATAAGAACCAAGACGAAGCAAAACCAAACACCGCCAGAAGCAGATGTTGAGGAGGCATCATCGCCAAAAGACAGCCGCCTCCGGAGATCTCCTTTCACGAACCCGTCTGCGTCCTCAAACAAACAGTCTTACTCGTGAGATCTAAGAGGTACAAGCTTTAAAACACTATCTGCCGCATCAAACGCCACCTCCAGTGACAGCAGCCAACAAAAGCTGCTGGGAACACCTTGAAAAGACCTGAAGGAGAGCAAAGCCGAGAAAGGAAAGAACGAGCCTGAGGAAGCATCACCTAAACTTGTCCTCATCAGATTTGGGATCCGCACATGCATCACCACGGCCGATCTACAACAGAGCTACCACAGCCTCTCCCAGAAAACACAGATCTGCCACCATCTTGGGAGAAAATAGCACATAACCGCTGTTGAAGCACAAGAACTACAAGAAAAATGCCTTTTTACAATGGCTGAAACCGTTGTAAAAGGCCTATTACGACGCACTTACAACGATTTCAAAACTGTCGTAAAGCATCGTTGTAAAAGGCAATTCGTCGTAAAAGGCATTTCGTCATAAAATCATCGTAAACTATAAAACAATTACAAACCATCGTAAAATCGTCGTAAACTTTCCGTCGTAAAAGCGTCGTAAGATTACCGACGATTTTACGACGACAATCATCGATTTGTATACCATCATAATCGACGTATAATCGACGTAAGAGTTCGACGTATTTACGTCAGATAATATACGACGTAAAAAACGTCCTAAAAACGTCGTATTATATTTTTTATTATTCGTCGTAACTACGTACGAATTTACGATGAACTATTATAAAAAATATTTTAAAAATTACAACGATTATACGATGATTTGAAGAAAAACAAATAATTATTAAATTCTAAATAAAATTTAAAATAAAAAAACAAAATTAAAATAATATCTATTTAATACATAAATACATAAATACATCTAAAACTAAACGTCGTCTTTCCCTGTTTCCCGCTCCCCATCGTCGCCTGCAGGTTGCTCCTCGTGACCCGTAGCTCGGTTGAAGTTTTCCGCACCCTGCTTCCCGATTCTAGGAGGATCCACCCCGAGAGACCAGAACATTTCCTCATCCATCTGCACTGGTGGTGGCGGCCTCCTCGAGGATGAAGACGAGCTAAACGCTCCAGATTCCCGCATCATGTCCAGCTGTGCCTCGAGCAAAGGGTTGTCAGCGCCCAAAATGTCAAACAGACCATACATCTGGTCGATCTCATACTGCGCCCGCATCTGGTGCAGCTCTTACCGAAGAACCATCAGATCCTCTGCACGAACATGTCCGGTCGTAGAAGCGACAAGAATATCGTGAATGGATCTCATCCCTAAAATCCTGTCCTTCTTACAAGGGGCAACTTGCAAAAAAATGTTGAAAACATAAGTATAGAAACAAATTTGTAATAAAAAAGTAAAGTAGAAAAAAATTTATGACACTTACTTCTTCGTAGATTTTGTCCATCTCCGCCACTGTCAGCGTCAGTGTGGACTAGACCGCCTCTGGGAGACGTCGGAGGCACTTGCTGGGAGAGCTGCGTTTGCCGCTCCTCGATCCTTGCAACGGCAGCATTGTAAATCTCTTCCGCCCGAGAATCTGTGAATTCGTCATTCTTCTTCTAGTGGGTCTCGGCGAATACCTTCGTCATTGGAGGAAGTTCTCCCTCATTTTCTTCAGCCTACAAAAACAATTGAAAAATATTAATAAAAAGAATTAAAGTAAAAAAAAAAAGCTTGTTAATTAACCTTACCATACCGGAAGTGTGCGAGACGTTCTTTGGCTGTCCCGCGTCATCTACATCGTTCCTGAAAAAGAAAAAATTGTTAGTTATATAAATAAAAATATATTTTAAATCATAAACACATATTAATTTAAACGTAAAACAAACCTGGATCTGGAACACTTGGCGGCAATGGTCAGGGCATGCTGATCCAACCAATGCCACACTAGACCCTCTGAGACTCTATCAGCCATTGGTCCAAGCTTTGCATTGTCCCCTTCAACCTCCCATTTCCTCTTCCAGTCAGAAATGGTGTTGTTGATACACTGCTTGACCTTCTCTTTGAACGTCGTCTTGACACGGCCATGTGCGGAAAGTTCTCAATGCCATTTTTGCTATAAAAGAAATGAGTTAGAAATTATTTTAAAATATAAATAATATTAATGTTAAAAAATAATATTAAGAAACTTACCGCAAAACACTTGAACCAAATGTCAAAAATTGGTTGGTCCAACTTCTTAAAGCTGGTATGAGATTCTACAAAGAACCCTTTGATAATATCCGAGACGCTACGAGCGATTTGATTGTCGATTCCAAACCTACATCGTAAAAATAAATTTGTTAGATATCTAATTTAATAATATATAGATTGTAATGAAAAATTCCTAAATTAGAACTCTTCAATTTTGCCTCCCCCCACCCAAAATTTTGTTCGGTATCATTTTGTCATTTGGTAATAGTAATTTAACAATTTGCCATTAATTAGTTTTTTTTTGCAAAAAACTAGTTTTTTTTAACAAAAAACCTAATATAGCACAAAACTATTTTTTTTTTTTGCCAAAAGTTAGACTATAAATACAATAGTGCAGGTTTACTTCAAAAAATAATACATAAAACTTCATTATTAAAAGACCAAATGAAGTCTTATCAGCTAACATTGTCTGTAGTTTACAATTTAAAAAACTAGACATTGTGCTACTTGCAAATGCAATATTGTATTTTTTTTTTTGTCGGGAGAATAACTTGATGTCTGACTGAGTATATTATATATAAAGAGACAGCGAACATTGTTCATTATTCACGATTTAAATAATAGATATTGTGCTACTTGCAATATTGGATTTTTTTTGTTGTTGATCAACTTGATATTTAAAATTAAATATATTAAATTTATTATATAAATGAAAATAATTCAAAGTTACTAACTCATCTGATTGTGATATATATTCAGTTAATTGATCAGATTTTGACAAATAAAATAAAATTATAATTAGATTCTGATATAGTATTAACGATAAAAAGTAAAATTCATAATCGATTTCTAATCTAAACTATAAACTATTGAAGAAAAAAAGAAAACAAAATATGTAAATCGATCATAATAGCAAAAATAAATTAAAAATATTTTAAAAAATCTTAATTAATTTTTCATCTAAAAAATAACGTTACTAAACAAAATTTTTTTTACTATTTATCATAAAAGCTACAGTTAATAAAAATATTAATAATTGATTTTTTTTTAAAAACTGATTAATATAAAAAATTAAATTTAATAGAAAATACAAATATTAAATTAAAAATTTTATCATAAATTTAATTTTATAGATATTTTTAATTTTTACGGATTATCAAAATTTAACTATAAACACATATTTTTTTTTGCAGATTATCAAATATTTTATTATAACTCTAATGTATACGGGTTCTAATCTAGTTATATAAAGACTATGGAGGCTGAGTCGCGTTTATATATAATTATACTTTAGTCAAAAGAGCCAAAACTTGTGTATAAAAGACACCTTCATGGCTTAGCTAATAGATCACCATCTCTGTCCACCTTGCATAGTTAGCTCCCGCTCTCTCGCTCTCTCTCCAAACTTGCTTTTATTTATATAAATGTTACCCAAACTTGCTTTTAATTTATATAAATGTAACAAAGCCTTGACTCATTCTAAACTTAATAAGCGAGCATAGTTCAAAAAGGTTAAGCATCAATATGTCCCGTCTCCAAATGTTACTTATTAGAAATTGGTTGAAACTGTTTCTGCCAATTGTCCTATTTCTTTGATTTAAAATCTGTTTGATCCTTTACTTGAACGGCTTTCTTTTTCTTGTTTAAATCCCCAATCTAAAGAAACATAAGTGTGTATAATGCAAATTATTTCTGATAACAGAATACTCATCCATATATGAAGATTTAAATCTGTTCAATATGACCCAACGGTTGGAAGCGCAAGGGGAAGAAGGCGAATATAAGTGGGAAGGCAGATCTGACCTTGGTGATATTACAAAGATATCTGTACGAGGTGACTCTGAAGGCATAAAGTTCATCGGATGCGATTATATCAAGTATGGCCATCTTGCTTATGGATCAGTATCTCCTATAAACTTTCCAGGTTTCACTCAAACGGTATAAAATAAAATTCCCTTTTTATTTTGGGGCAAACACTAACTAAGCTCCCTCTATTTACGGCTAATTGTGGATTTTATTGACTTATTATTCTAAATTTTGTTTCACCAAAATTTTCAGTTTGAGATCAACCATCTAAAAGATGAACAACTTTTATCTGTTGACTGTTACTACAATAGTGGGATTCGAGGAATTCAGTTCAAAACTAACTTGAGGATTTCTGAGCTGATAGGATTTGTAGAAGATTACAATAAGTTTTCAGTAGTGGTGGATGGAAAGAAGATCATTGGATTTCATGGATCTAGTAACGTAAGCCTACTCAGCTCTCTTGGAGCATACTTCACATGGACTTCTCCAACTAGATTGGATGCGATAGGAATATATGGAGGCAAGGAGTGGGACGATGGAGCAGACCATGAAGGTCTTACAAAAATATATGTACGAGGTGGTCCTGAAGGTATACGATACATCAAGTTTGATTATGTCAAAGATGGACAGCATATATATGGGCAAGCCCATGGTAGCACAGGCGCAGGTTTCACACAGACGGTATGTATAACTAGGAATATGTTAACTGTAGATATGATTTCTTGAGCATAAATGTAGTCTATCATTTTTTTTTTTTTGCTCTTTTTTGCAGTTTGATTTGAACCATCTTGTAAAAGAATATTTGGTATCTGTTGAGGGCTACTACGACGATAGCAAGACCGGGGTCATTCAAGGAATTCAATTCAAAAGTAACATCCAAACTTCGGATCTGATGGGATACGATACGGGTAAGAAGTTTAAACTAGCAGCTAATGGGAAGAAGATCGTTGGGTTTCATGGATCTGCTGAGAAGAATGTAAACTCTCTTGGAGCATATGTTACAACCTTCCCTATTACTAAATTGGAATCCAAAGGTGATACTAACAGAGGTGGACTTTGGGATGATGGTACCTTTGAGGGCGTAAGAAAGGTGTATGTTGTTTATGCTACTGCATCGGATTATGGCTCTGTTTCTCGTGTCATGTTAAATTACGACAACACAGCCGTTAAGGCGCTTGGAGAAGAAGGGAAGGTCATAATTCCTACAACCATAAATATTCATTGACCACAAATATGTTAGCTTATATCAATCTTTTTTCTTTTTCTTTAATTGCAGTTTGAGGTCGACTATCCAAATGAACTCATCACATCTGTGGAGGGGACTTTCTACATGGAGAGTACAAAAAATAAGTGGGTTTCATCGTTGACTTTCAGAACATCAAAAGGGAGAACCTCTCCAACATTTGGAAGAGCGACTAATAGTAAATTCATGCTTGAGAGCAAAGGTTGTGCTCTTGTTGGTTTTCATGGAAGGTCTACTAGTAAGCTTAGAGCTCTTGGAGCATATTTTTGTCTGATGCCTCCTGATCCTGATGCGGAGAAACTAGAGGCAAGAGGTGGTGATGGAGGAGCTTCTTGGGACGATGGCAGTTTTGATGGTATTCAAAAGATATACATAGGAATTGGCGATTTCATTAATGTTGCTTTCGTCAAGTTTCTATACGACAAGGACTCTCAATTGGTGGTCGGGGATGATCATGGGAGCAAGAAATTACCTGGATTTGGATATGAAGAGGTGATTACTTCAGTTTTCTTTTTAAAAAATTAATATTATTGATCAACTTATTTATTGGGATTGTCTTGTTTTTGTAGTTTGAGTTGGGAAACAACCCAAGTGAATACCTGATATCAGTCGAGGGTAGTTATGATCTAGTAGATGGAGGTAAATCCGAAGCTATAGTCATGCTTAGGTTCAAGACCAATATGCGAACCTCTCCAACTTTTGGAACGGAAGCAGGCACAAATTTCATACTCCATAAGAAAAATCACAAGATTGTTGGATTCCATGGAAAAGCAAGTATCATGCTTCATCAAATTGGGGTCCATGTCCTACCCATTACATAGTGATCTCATTTTATATATGAGCTCGAAGGAAACATTCTCGAACAAGTTTGATCATCTTCTTTAATTAATCATCTCCTATCTTGTACTCTATTACGTATTATTAATAATTTCCTATGTTTTCTGGCTCATAAATTTCAATTCAAACTAAAATTAGAAAAAACATATACAAAACCAAAAGCAGAGTTTCGAAAGCATAGGCCTTATACTGGGGATATATTTCTCATTACATCTTAGCACATGTATATGTAATTATTACCTTTTCTATAATTTCTTTTTTTCTTGTGTATTAGTTCAACTCTTGTACGTATAAATATTTCCTTTTATATATGAGATAAACAACACTTCCGCAACCTTGAAATGGCTGTAGTTTTTAGTTATGTGAGCCTTTAACTAGAACAGAAAAGATCATTCAAATATATATATATATATATATATCCTCTTATATACTAATAAAAGTTGATGCTAAATGTCTCTAAACATAACCACATATGATTAAAAAGAAAAATTCTATTGGTCCACATCAACATTCAAAATTAAGACAAAATTTCAAAAATTAATATTATTATTAATAAAAATATATATATATATAAGAAAATTAATCTATTAACAATAAAAAATAAAATAAAATTAAATTAATAACATTTCTTTAAAAAAATTAAAGAATGAGAGTAAAATTTACTTAAATTTACTTAAATATAAAATAATATGCAATCAATTAAAAAATGAGAGTAAAATTTAAAATTGTTTTCCAGTTTTCTTATAAAACTGATATAAAAAAAAATAAAACTGAAGATGATGAAAAATCTTATTTTCTTTTGGGGTTCTTGCACATATGACCTCAAAATTAAAGTTAAATGCAAATCTAACCTCTTTTTTCTCCCTTTTCAATATTAGCCAATTTCTCCCCACTTTCTCCCTAAAGCCACATATAATAACATAAATACCATTATATTTATAATTATCGATTTTTTTAGGTAATTCGAAAAAGACTTAACCATACCATCCTAAGATATATCAAGTATTCACGAAAATGCCATCATCTTCAATTTCGCCAACTACCATTACCAACCAAAATGGAAGCTCTTAATGCTTGCCCATCTGCACTTGAAGCTCTAAATGCTTATTTGGCAGCTCAAACTTCATTCTATCTTCAAATTTCTCTCTAATTTCATCTAAAAATCTCTTTTTTGGTCGACATTGATATGTTTGAATTCGCAAATCATATATTTTGTGAGATTCTTGGATAACCGAGTTCTGGGCTGGTTTCCTTTCCGTGCATCTCAAAAATTCTGAACTTCTGTCAAAGTTAATCGAGTTCAAATTAGAAGGAGGTAAACATCTAAATCTTTTCTTTAACATTGGGCTATGTTTCGCGAAAGTAGACTTCTTTTACAGTCTGCTAGTCAACGTAAAAGATTAGATTTGCAATTGACCTTTTGGTATTTTTTTGAAAGTAGACTTCTTTGTAAGTCTGCGAATTTTCATTTGAATACAAAAAACAACGTTTAGACTTCTATTTCAGGCTGCCGAAAAGCGAGAATAGTTTTGCATTTGACCGGAAAATATTATACTTTGACCTTTTCTGCAGACTTCGTGGAGACGTCTGAAAAAGATAAGTTTTACCTGAAAGGTTATTTTTGCATTTGACCAAGATGTTGACCACATTTGACCAAGACTTCTAAAGAAGTCTGCTATTAATTTAATTCAGAATTGGTCAAATGCAAAAATAACCTCTCAGCAGACTTATAAAGAAGTTTGCTACGAAAGTCAAACTTGGGTCAATTGCAGAAATAACCTGCAGCAGACTTCGATTGTAGTGTAGACTTCTTCAGCTAACTTCACATTAACAGAAGACTTCTTGCCTCTTACAGGAGACTTCTTTTTATATAGAAGTCTGCTGTAAAAGTCAAACGTTTGGTCAATTGCAGAAATAACATTTTTCTTATGCAGACTTTATATAGAAGTCTACTACGAAAGTCAAACATTTGGTCAATTGCAAAAGTAACCCTGCCTTTTTGGCAGACTTCTTCGTGAAACAAACCGGGTGGAGTTTTGCTGGAAGTCTGCATTTTTTTCGTTTTTAAAAAGCACTTTTTTAAAACTTTTGTGTGATGAATTTTTTTTTTGAATTTTTATTCTTGTTTAGAAGGTATATTTTTTTTACCTGTATTAATTTTGTATGCTTATGTGTCATACATTAATAGTTATAATTTTTGTAGATTTGAACGGTAATTGGCACATATTAGTAGACTTCATAAGTGAAGTCTGTCTGGCGAAGGAGAATAACACAGCAGACAACACTTGAAGTCTACCTAATTATTTTAATCGTTTTCGAATTAATGGTATATGCTAAAATAAATATCTTGTTTGGACATGTTGATTTGCCTTTTTTTGGTTCCATATACGTGAGTTTCACGTTGATATGTGTTATAATTAGAAAGTGATGAATTTTCTTGAATGTTTAGAAGTCTGCTCTATGTTACTTGGAAAACACGGTTTATCTTATGTGGTTTACCTTTTTTGCAGATGGCGGCTCAGTTGCCTGTTGTATTTGGAGAATAGGTTATGGGTGCTCAGTCGTGGCATTTTGAGGTGGATAATCGCAAAGGAGGGAGGTTGTTCTTCATGAATGATGGTTGTACACATGGAGAACTCGTAGCTATGGCTCTAGATGATTACATGCTGGATGGAAATACGGACAACGTGTCTATCACTTATGCATTGCCAGATTCAATGTTAGCAAACATGGCTCCAGATACCCCTCCTATACATATTACTAATGATAGACAGGTACAGAGCTTGATTGGGTTGAGTAAGACGCATGTTATACGTCTTTGTGTATCTAGTCGCAAGGACAATGATGGACGTACTGGTGGTGTTGATGATGCTGATGGGTGTTCTGTTGAAGGTGGGAATCAAACTACTGAGGAATGTGAAGATGAAAATGTCGATGAGTATGATGATGATGAGATAAACGAGGACATCAATAACGATCCAGTAAAGGAGGAAGATGCTACTGACTCCGAGGATCAGGACTCTGAGGATCAGGACTACAGCCAATATGGGAAAGTGAAGGATGAGGATTCAAATTCTGATTCAGAGGGTGAGTGGATTGAAGAACCGATGAAGGCTCCTCAAAGAGGATATGAAAGAAATTGGGTTGACAAAATAAAAGTAAACGGAAATTTTGCTACAAAAGACGAGCTGATTTCTGAGATCAGGTTGATGGCTGTTATGTTGAAGTTTGCATTCAGAGTTGATAAGTCATCGAGACGTCTGTTTGTTGCTAAATGTGCTGTTAAAGGATGCCAATGGAGAGTTAGAGCAGCTGTAAAGAATGAAGCAAAGACGTTTTGGGTCACTAAATATGTCAAAACTCATACATGTTCTGTTTCAGATCGGTTGGCTCACCGAAAGCATACGACTCCAAGATACATTGGAAAGTTATTTATAGAGCGTGTGGGAATAATTGATGGGATTACTGCACAACACATCAAAGATTCAATGCAGGCGATGTTTGGACTGAAAATAGACTACACAACTTCGTATAGAGCTTTGATGTATGCACAAGAATGTGTGAGGGGAACCCCTGAGGATGGATATAGCCGACTGCCTTCTTATTTGCATCTGATCGCTGAAGCAAATCCGGGTACTATAACTGCCTTTGAACGCGACAGTCAGAATAGGTTCAAGTACCTATTCTTAGCCTTCAGAGCCTCCATATCTGGTTTTCAATATCTCAGACGGGTCATTGTTGTCTATGGGTGTCATCTGACTGGAAAGTATGAAGGGACTCTGCTAGTGGCCACAACACAAGATGGTAACTTCCAGATATTTCCACTAGCTTTTGGAATAGTGGACTCTGTGAATAATTACGCATGGGAATGGTTTTTTAGAAAATTGCGGGAGTGTTTTACAGACGAGTATCCGTTGGTGATAGTTTCAGACCGGCATCATTCAATTAAGAAGGCATGTGAGACTGTTTTACCATGGGTAACACGCGGTATATGCTATTATCATCTGCAACACAATATTGTCACTAAGTTTAAGGGAAAGCATCTTATGTACTTAGTCAAACGTGTTGCGTATGCATATACGGTACATGATTTTAACCGTTATATGGACGAGATAAGGCATATAAAACCTGACCTTGCAACGTACCTGGAGGAGGCAGGCATTGAGTTGTGGTCAAGAGTTCACTTTCCAGGTGATATATACAATATAAAGACGAGCAACATCGCAGAGTCTATCAACTCTGCTCTCAAACGGGACGGGGATTTCCCATAGTATTCCTGTTGGAGTACTTACGGGCGAAGCTAACAAAGTGGTTTTGTAAAAGGCGGGAAGATGCTTTGAGTCTTCAAACCAACCATACTCGAGGAGTTGAATATTTGTTGGCAATTCGTTCACATTATGCTGATAATTTGACGGTTGAAGGCATAGATGGTTGGCGATTCAATGTGAAAGGAGGATCACATAACTGTGTCGTTGATTTGGAACTTCGAAAGTGTGGGTGTGGCGTGTATGATATTGAGAAAATACCTTGCTCTCATGTTATAGCCGTTTCAGATGCAATGCATATGCATCTGGCCACTCTTGTATGCCCGACATACTCCAAAGATTACTTGTATGCAGCGTACTCGCATAATATATATCCTCCAAGTATTGCAATGAAAACCGATGAAACAACACAATGTCTACATCCGGAGGTCCGACGTAAAAAAGGCAGGCAGAGGAAGTCAAGACTGCAAACTTGGCTGGAAATTTCGAGGCATAAGCAAAAGAAACCCCGTAAGATCCACAAGCAGTACAATTTTTCGAAATGTCACCAACCAGGACATACCAGACCGGATTGTGTAAGTGTTATGTTACCTCATACTTTAAGGGTTATATTGGTCGAAGTTAATTTCCTCTGTTTTTTTGCAGACGTGGAAGTCAAGATAAAACCCTAAACCTATAATAGCAGACTTACACTGAAGACTACAACTAGAAGTCTACGACCGTAGTCTGCACAAGAAGTCTGCTTAACCAGGTAAGGTAAACACTATTGAAATATGTCTGTTTCATGTCTATGTACGATCATTCTTAATTATTGTCATAAACTATGCGATATAAGAAGCTATGATTAGGCTAAACCTTAGAGTACGTGAATTATCACAAAAGCCACACTAGTCTATTACAAGCGTTTAGCCTCCCAAAAGATACAACCACACCATTGTTTTAAATATTACTAAACAAACCAAAACTAGTTAGGAACATTACAGCTAAATATGAGAACAACAATTCTGGCAGGTTAACCAAAAACTTCCAACCATACCACATCCAACGAGAGTCCTTTCTCTTACAGTACAGAATATACATAGTTGGACATATCACTTACCTTCGTATACGTCCAACCATGGATAATCATACTTCTCTGTGCCGGTTACTCCTGTCTCGTCAAATATCTCAGCTCCCAGCTTGTCTCAGACGTTTTTAATGTTTGCATCGCACAAGGTCTTAGGAAATGGCATCCCTAGAGCATGGCATTCAAGGTACTTCAAGCAGTAAACGCCACAGTCACCGCTTTGTTTGTTTTGTGGGATCAAATGCCCCTTGATTTGCTCCCACGTGAATGGATCATAAATCAGATTGATACGGTCTTCAGCAGGTGCACATTCACGGAGTATATAGGGAACCAAGACGGTAATCGGAATCACAGCAGCCTCAATCTGAATATCCGATGCATGAGTATTCGCATGGTTATCCCAAATGACAATATGCTTCATCGGAATCGAAATCCACATTGCCACCCAGTGATCCTCAGTGATGTGTAACATCGAGTACAGGTCATCCACATCATACCCCACGTCTTGTTACTAACGCAGTAGGTTGGCGCTGCGCCAGTGTAGTACTCAAACGAGCCAGCTGGAAGGAGCTTGCCTGAACCATCAGGGTTGGCGTGAGAGTCCACAAACTCCTTGTACTTGTGCCTCCACATCGTTGCAAAGTAAGAGTCGAGGAATGTTATCCTGTCTGACCTAAACCACTCAGGATGCTTTGTAAATCGCAGCATGAGTAGGTTAATCCCAGCTTCCATGTGCTGCATATTCAATGAAAACAATTATTCAAGCAGAGAGAAATATGTTGTGTTCATATCATATATACACTCGTGTAACTTACAGTGTCTGCTAGCCATTGTTTTGGGACTCTTAGAATGAAGTACCAGTCCGTAGATGACCATTTTATCCGTTTTGGATAGTTCCTGAAAACACCACCGTTTTACAATATCATCCACTACTCTTCTTATCTGTAAGTCTGCTGATATAATAACTCCAAAACAAAGACTTACTGATCTTTTTTCAGACAATCAGTTAGCACACCGATCTTTTGTTTCACGTGTTTCATATCAAACGGATCATATCCGCTCCCTCGGACATTTTTGTTTGGGATTATTTCATTCGATGTGCTGTTGGGTTTGAAAGGGTTTTGTTGGGTAGGAGCCAACTTTCGCAGACGTTCACTCTTCGCACGAGCAACCAGTTGTGCCGCCTTCTTGCTTTTCTCGTCTTTATCTTTCTGGACCTGATCGAAGTCGATGTCGCATTTTGCTGGATCAACCATAACGACGATTGGCTCTGGAGTTCCCTGCTTACCATCGTTCGCGCTCTCACTTGGGACATCAATTTGTTCATTTTGCTTAGACATAAAATTACTCTGCAAATATAAAGATTTAAACACACATCAATGAAACGAAACCAAAAATCAAACATTAAAGAGTACAAATAAAAGCATTAAATATTTAGTGGTGACAACATTTTTCGATTTCTAAGGTTTTAAAACAGATTGGTAAGGTTCGATGAGAAGTTTGAAAACAAATATGGAATTTTATTTTTTCCGGGGTTTCCTTCCTCTTTTCTTTGGAGAGGGTTTTGGACTAACGTCGATATTAGGATCGGCGTCCGCGTCCGTTGGATCGTCGCCAACAGGTTTTGCGTCCTCAGCGGCTGCTTCACAAGTCTGAGCCACATCCTCCTTTGTACCTCCGGTCCCAGCTTGGAGGATCACTGCCTCTAATTTCTGCTCCACCATTCCCAACTTTGTGTTGAGTAGTTTGATCTGAGATTCACAACTACTCAACCCATCCATCATCTTGTTGAAGCAGTCGTCCATGTGGTCCTTCAGAATCGTGACCATTGACTCATCTTCATCACCAGAGGCTGGGCAGAACCGCTTCCGACTTCCTTGATCACCAACTGATTCCGATAGCCTCTTCAGATCGACAGACCCTTCGGACTTGACATACGTGGTCACACCTGTTGGAGGCCAATGACTCCTTTCCCATGTCCATTGTTTAGGGCCAAAATGACCATACATCGCTTTGATGATGTTGTCAGTCCCCGCGTCTTCTTCATCATTGTCTTCAACTTCCCAGCGCGGAAACATGTCGAAGAATTTCTTAACAACGTAGTTGTTAATGCGTGTCTACATGGAAATCAAAACTGTGCTATATAACGTATAATGTAGAAGTCTACCAACAAATTCTGCATTAGAAATCTACTAAGGAAGTCTGCTGTAGAAGTATATTACAGACGTCTGCACTAGAATTCTACTAAATAAGTCTGCCGATATAATAGTCAACCAAGTATGAATTCAGACTACTTACCTGTTGGAGCATATTCTCTTTCATAAATTTCCTCCCCCTGGATCCCTTGTAAGCTGTCAGCGGTACCTTGGGGTCGTTTGGAAGTGGTTCACCAAATTTAGCAGCAAAGTCGGGAAGAGCAAAGTAAACCCAGACTTGTAGTACTTGAATAAACCCCTCAATGGTGTACGACGACTTCCAAATTTCTTTCTCCTTCACCGACCGCATCAGGTTTTTGAAGGCCACTCTTCCCCAAGGGTAGTTTTCAAACGCATCTAAATCCATCACAAGCCTTGCCAACCTAGCCCAAGTAGCTGAAGATGGCTTTCGTGCTTCAATGTAACTAGCATAAATGCTAAGGTATCCCAGCCTCAACCGATCCTCGGAAGACCACGACCCGCATTCCTTACAAGCTTCTATCAAATCTTCAGTGCTCGGGCCCAAATCCTGATTGACTCCCAATCGCTCCCAGAAATCTTGCATCTCCTCAGTTATCTCAACCACCGGATCCTCGAGATTGTCCACGTACTCGCAATTCAAGCCAGTAATATGTTCGAACTCATTCAAAGAAAAGTGGATCGGGATTAGACCTACGAGGCTTCAAATCTCAAATTTTTTCTTGCAAACTAGCTGCATGTCGAGAATGTAATGCACCAGTCTAGATGTCCAGCCGAAATCCAGCTGACTGAACTTCAAGAACACTCCCAGTTTAGAGTTCAATATCTCTTCCCACTCATCTTGTGTGAGTGCTTCCTCGAGTGCAGTCATCAGCTTCGTCTCACCGCTATAGTAACCGATGCTTTTCAGCGGAGACGGCTCATCACCTTTCGAGAAGAGATGCGGGGGGAAATCTGGGTTTTCCATTGGCTGTTCTGACGTCTGCAAAACAAAGTCAAATATTCAAGAAGTCTACTTATGAAGACTTACGAAGAAGTCTGCACACGAAGTCAGCCAACTAAGTCTGCAATTGAAGTCTGTAGACTTAATAGTGTAATTAATAAAGTTTCTAAAAAACTAGCCGCCGACAAAGTTCTCTAAAAAAACACAACCCGTTTTGAACTCTGTTTTACGAGATAATACTTCCAAAATAGTTCGCCTAACACTATCCAAGTCCGTTTAATAAATGAAAAGAAGTACAAATATCTGTAACTTTAGAAATATCTACTCGTTGTTGTCCGATTTTTAGAAAAACCGATGTAGAAACCCAAATGACTAGGAACTTGGAACCCGTAAAGATATTTATTTACAAATTATAAGAAATTAGTACAGCCAAATACTTTTCCACGACCAACGGCGGAAATGAACAGTTACGGACGGCGGTGACACCAGATCTGGAATAGAAAGCGAAGGAGATTAGGGTTCGTGAATTACACAGACGACTTCGATCCAAAAGAGAAGTCGGCACTAATTTCGACTTACCTTAAATGGTAAACGGATGTACAATAAAAACCGGCGACAAGTTCCGAGAAAAATTTTCCAAACGACAGTAGTTTTTTTTTAACCGATTTGTGTTAATACAGTGACCGTAGAAACTCTTATATATGTCCGTAGAAACCTATTTAACCGTCGTACCGGTTCAATAACCGTCGTACCAGTTCAATAACCGTCGTACCTATTCAATGTGGTTTATCGATTTTGTTATTTAAAACGCAATTGGTTTAGCCTTCAATTGGTATAGCTGGTTTGCAATATAAATTTAAAACCGTCTGGTTTAGTTTATTCTACGTATTAAGTCTGCATATTAAGTCTGCCTAAGACGTCTGCATATTAAGTCTGTTTAAGAAGTCTTCCTAAGAAGTCTGCATATTAAGTCTGTTTAAGAAGTCTGCCTAAGGGCATCCTCAATGCAGATACCCTCATGGGTCTCCAAATGTGTTTTTTATTAATATTATATAAGTAGATTTAGAGATTGTATGTAGAGACCCTTAACTCACGGCCTGCATATGTACACAATACACAAAGTGCACATAGATTCCCCAGTATACGAACAATGTATATGCAACAATCAACACCAACATTAATCACCATAGAAGTCAAATACATATGTTTTATCCCACCTAGTCTACTTAAAGGTTACACAAGTCTCTTGGTCCTCTATTCTACATCCCAACGCATGAAAACATAAGAGATTACTGCAAAAATAACTAAAAAAACACAAAGTAGGATATCAGAACCTCGATTAGCAAGTGCTTCTTTCACTCCAGCAATTTCACTCTGAATGAACCCTATGAACTCCTCGATCTTGCTAATGGTCTTCTCGGTTGCAGCAAGGCGATCCTCCAGTGCATACAGCCGCTTCTCATATGATTGCAGAAGGGCTGTTCGGTTGTCACGGAACATGCTTTCGCTCTGCTTGTCAATTCGTATTTGAAGAATGGTCAGCTGCTCTTCAATGGCTTCATCCCACCATTTGGAGATGTGACCCGGTTTATCCTACACATATGACAAATGAAAACTTCAGTTATACTCGATGAATAACATTAAAACTATACACATATTGAGAAAAACCTCATTAAAACTATACACATTCGCCTAATATTTCAGGGCAACTATAGAACTTCCTGCCAAACGTCTCTGGAGCTGTAGACTCTTCCAATCTACATCGAAGGCCGCAATAGCATCGTTCAGGTATCCCAAAGTCTCCATCAGCTTTGGCACACCCGCTGTCATAGCTTGCTTTGGAAGATGAGCTGTTGGTGTAGCTTATCGGCATTACTCTGTAGAGATCAAGCAAACAAACTTGGCAGTTAACAAACAAAAAACTAAAACAGATACGACCACATAATAACTTTGCAGCTAAAAACAAAACAACAAAAAAAAACTTTCCAAACAAGTATTTCTTACTCTCTAAACAACAAAATAACAAAAAAGGTACATCTTGAAATAAAGAAAAAATCGAAATATTTTTACTTACTTGCTCACGGAATCTGTGAAAAAATATTTTTACTTAGATCTGTTAAAAAAACAGTAAAGCAAAAGGACAAAAGAACAAAAGAACAATTTTAAAGGACAAACCAGTAAACAATAAGATACAGACTAAACAGAGAATGTAATGGCGAATAACTCACAGATCTGGAGAGATAACTAAGAACGATGAAGACGCCGGCTGAGATCTGCAGCAACAATATATGTAGTGATATATATGAAACAACATATGCATCAGAAACAGAAAAGAAGAGATGGGGAGCGCCGGGAAAGGCTTACTGCGAGAGAGAGTCGCGGCAAGAGAGACCAGAGTGCAGCGCCGTTTTACAGTGATCTAGGGTTTTTTATTTATGGTAACGACTGGTAAGTTTCTTTATATACTATGTTAAAAAAAAAATTTCTGGTTAGGTTAATTATTCTGGTTTGACAAAACTTCGATCCGTAGTCTACTGAGCAGACTGATAAAGAAGTCTGCAGCCCTAGTTTAAAATTTTTCACTTTTTATGTTTATCTTAGATGGTTAAGAATGATTCATTTTATTAAATTATAATTTTTATAGACCATCCTTGTTGAAATTTGATTTATAGAAACAAAATTTCAGTTTACATTATTTTTATATAATTTTTAAATTTAAAAATAAGATTTAATAATATAGTAGACTTCTTTATCAGTCTGCTCAGCAGACTGATAAAGAAGTCTCCAGCCCTAGTTTAAAACTTTTCACTTTTTATGTTTATCTTAGATGGTTAAAAATGATTCATTTTTATTAAATTATAATTTTTATAGATCATACTTGTTGACATTTGATTTATAGAAACAAATTTCAGTTTACATTATTTTTATATAATTTTTAAATTTAAAAATAAGATTTAATAGTATAGTAGACTTCTTTATCAGTCTGCTGAGAAGATTTCATTAATATTTGCAGACTTCGCAGGGTTATAATCGTAATTGAGACATCCGTTTTATTGTTTACTCATGTAGGAGATAATGGTAATTTTTCTACTCCTCTGACCTATTTTTGCAATAGGTTGAATTTGAGGTATACTTTTGCATTTGGAATCAAATTGTGGAATATTCTTAGCAATTCCCCTAATTTCTCATGGTTTAGTCTGGGTCTAGGCCCAAAAGAAAAAAAAAAGTTTGCTTTTACAAATCTATTATATTAAAATAGAAACACTTTTAATACTTGATTCCAAACGCTTTTAAAATTAAAAAAAAAATTATTTGAAAACAGTTTAAAATTACCCTATACAATATTATTTTAAACCGCCTTTTTTATATATAAATTTAATTCCAAAAATTAGATATTAATTTAGATATCTAATATTTCCTTAAATATATGTTATATTTAATTTAGAATTCAAACTATTTATTTAGATATTAATTTAGATTACTTTATACTTTTTTAAATATATGTTCTATTTAATTTAATATTTGATATTCAAATAATATTTTCAGAATAACACATATGATTAACGAATACTTTATTAGATTTGTTTTAATCATATTTAATTAGATTAAAATTTCACATATAAAAAACTGATAAATATTGTTTATGAGATTTTCAGTCCTCCTCTGAGGGGTAAGTCTCCTGCAAAACAGAAACGACGTCAAGGGCCCGGAAAACACGATGGAGGTGTGTTTTCCGAGGGTACTCCGACGCTCAAGTCAGAAAACAGCTCAAAAGACCACGAAGCGGAAAGAAACCAGAAACTGTTAGAAGGAAGATGGACCAAGAGTCATTGAGGAAGGTAGGATATGCTCGGGCCTAAGTGTAAGAATGGGCCTTTTGTGGTGAAAAGAGAGAGAAAAGAAAAGTTTAAGGTGACAAAAGCCCATGTTTTAGGAACCGCCGTGGAGGAGAGATGAAATGAGATGACCGGAAATATATAATAGTTTTGTGTTCATGCTTGCATGAAAGATAAAACCCCAAAAGAATAAGAGACAATTCGATAAAAGAGGAAGAAATTCCTGGCTAGAGAGAATGAGGAATTACAATAATCTTTAAACTTAATGTATATAAATAATGACTATTTTAAAGATCAAGCTTTACATGATATCAAAACTACCAAAAATATTGTTTAATTACCTACAATCTGATATCAAAGTTTTGTGTCCGTGCTTGCATAAAAGATAAGTACCGTCAAAGAGAGTTAATTTCCGTTAAACAGGGAGAAAGTTCTATATGAACAAAGAAATAAAATTATCTTTTAAACTTAATGTACATTTATATAATAAAAAAAATCAAAGATGAAACTAAACATGGTATCCAAGTTAGCAAAAATGATCGGTTAATTACATATAATAGTTACATATCCACGCTTACGAGAAAAATAAGAATCGGCAAAGATAATCAATTTCGCCAAAACAAGAAGATTAAAAATTAAATAAATAAAATAATGTATAAATTTAATTTATACAAATAATGATTAAACTTAACATAATATCAAAACTACAAAATGAATTATTTACTTATAATATTATTTAATAAAATCTCTCTGCGCAAGGTGCGGACCAAATATCTAGTATATATATAAAAATGAAAATCTTTGACTTTTGTGTAAAATATACAAGTAGTTTCATGTTATTCATCATTTTCCTATTTAAACTGTTTATATCTTAAGTACTCGTGAGGAAAAATGGTATGACATTTTTTTTTTCTCTCAAAATAGTTAAAACTATACTCTTTTACCAATCTTATCATTTTCATGTATGTTCAATTCTGCGCCATTTATTTTGATCATCTTCTTCAGTGATCACTCTCGTCTTTTACCCTACCACACACGTTTGTCTACTATGCTGATTAACCGACAAGTTCATGTTACAATGTAATCAGACAAAAGTTTTCTATATTTAAAATATCTTATTTTCTTATGAAAATAAGATATGGTCCAATGCTTCTCAGCACGCGGTAATCTTCTTTCCCAAGCTGCAACTCTCGCAAATATATTGTATGTTTGCTTCACAAATTTACAACTCTGAGCTATATCTATACTACTTATACGTATATATATAGCTTTAGGCGTTGTGTGTTACAGTACAAGTACTATACAGTTTCTTCCAAACTCTCAGAAGAAAAACGACACAGATTTCTTATGCAGATTCTTTGTAGGACGAGATTTCCTCAGCGCCTCTGCCAGTTTAATCAGCTCCTTCTTTCTGTTTTGATCTGTCTCCAAACAGTTTTCACCTCCGTCTTCTTCTTTATAGATGGAACAATCTGCTGCTTCACTCTTACGACGCACCATCCCTATGCTATTCTTGAAGTCCTCCTCGCCGTCTTTGCATCGCATCAGCATTTGAAAGTCCATTGAATGTGTTGATCGAAGCCTTCTAGGAGTCGAATGAGCACCCGTGTTTGAGCTGCTTGGTTCAGATGAACCAGCTCTCTTCTTGCGCTCTTGAGTGTCTTTACCGTGTAAGATCTTCATCAGCTTATGCATAAGCTTCTTCTTCCCTGACTTTTTTGTGTTGGTCGCAAACAAAGTGTCAACAGAAGAATCATCTTGGAACATTGATTCAGTGATCATTGATGATTCCTCCTGAGAAGATGACCATTGATCATAATCTGTGTTATCTTCCTCGTGCTCTTCACTATGTGCGTACTCCAGGATCAGTTGCTTAGCTTTTTCTTCTGAGTTAGGGCTTAGAGTAGTACTAAGATCCCTAGCAACTGTTTTACCAGCAGGAGCTTGGTATGTCCTTAGCTCGTATCTTAAGCAAGCATTTATCCATTTGAGATAAACAAGCTGCTCGAGGTCAGTGCATCGATCCCCTTGAAGCTGCTCGATTTCCTTCTTCAGCTCTTCGTTTTGACTCCTCAATCGGTTACCATCTTCTCGTAATGTCTCCATCTCCTCCGGGTCCTCCAGCCTTGAACTTGCTATGATTTGAACAGATTCCAGCTTCTCAGCAAGTTCCAAATTCTCAAAACGTAATCTCGTGTTGGAGTTACTAAGCTCGTTGATCTCACCTTCCAAATCCCTTAACCTCTGCATCAACTTATCCGCATCCGGATCAGGTAAAACAGCCTTGATCTCTTCTTCTTGCAGCTTCGCAACTCGTTCTCTAAGGGACAAGATCTGCTCTACATGTTGTTGGGTGTTGATGTTCAGTTTCTTCTTAAGCACTTGAACCTCAGACTTAGCCAAATCAAGCTCCAACACAACTTTCGAATGCTCAGAACATTGTGCCTTGAGTTTCTCGTTCTCAGCTTGCAAAGACTTGATCTTTAGATTGAAAACTTTAGTCTCCATCTGGTTTAGTTTCAACCTACTCCGTAGTTCCATTGCAATCTTCTGCTGCTCCTTGAGACTGTAATACTCTAACAACTTATCCTCGAGACATCTCTCTCTCTCACGAAGCGCTCTCACCGTGTTTCTCAACCGCTTAATCTCATTCTCATAATCAGCTTCCTCTTCGCTTGGAAATGCTAAAGGAACAGAAAAATCAGACTTTGGGGTTTCACATTCATCATAGGCCAACAATTCTAACTTTTTCACTTCCTCTTCAAACTCCGGTAAAAGAAACAAATCTTTTTCGCCCTTCCGTGGCGAAAAACCGATTAAAGAGTCTTCTTCTTTACTAGTGTTCTGAGTTTCTGAATCTTCTCTCTACAGAAAGCAAATCAAAATTTCCAGTAAATGGTCTAAATACTCCAAAACGTTATTGACCACCATTAGCTTAAGTAAACGAATCAGCAGCCAAACAATCAATCTACAGATCGTAAGTCAAATCTATAAATAGCAACTTAAAGGTCGAAACTTACATCGATGGATTTATTGGAACAATCTCTGTATCCATGATCTGAAATTCACAACAACAAAGGGAAAAAACCCTCTTTTCGGATTAGAGTCATGAAATGTGTAAATCAATCAAAATCGTGTAATTCAAAAGCAAAAATAGACACAAACCAGGTGATTGAGTTCTCAGAGGAGGCAAAGTGGGTCTGATTCTTTTCGTTTTCTTTCTGAATCGGGAAAATAGAAATCCGGCGAAAGATACGGCGAGGGCTGCTCCTATTTGGAGCACAAACAGGTTTATATCTCTTTTGTGTTTGGTAAGGATCATGACTGCAAAACCCTAAGATATTCAATTTGGAAAGAAGATTTTCGTTGACTAAACGCAAAATTATCTGTCTTCTTCTTCCTCGTCGGACTACATCTGCAAGTTCGGATAAAAATCAAAAGACAAAATTTTGATGATGGGATCAAATAGCCCACTGAGAATCAATATAATCTACTCATTACGGAAAAACCAATGAGCTGATTTATAAGGAAAAACAAAAAGTTTTGATTTTTTGTCCTTTCTTAATCTCGAGTACAAAAACAGAGATTGATCTACCTCTTAAGACAAAAAGCAGAACTTGGAAAGAACCCACAAAAAAAAAAATAGAAATATCAAATCTTTGTCTTATTACATTCCAAGTAAATAACAGACACTAGTAAAACCATAGACTTACTCGAAACACCATAGTTTTCCTGGCGATTTTGGTTTTAATTTTTCTCTATATTCCCAAAAGAAAAAAAAAATATAGGAAGTTGGTAGCAGATACGAAATTTCTAGTGGGTCAAAATGAATTTGATTCTCTTAAGTGGGTGTATTTCGCTGTCCGATAGATCAAATGCGTAAATGTTTGATATTTCTATAGAAAATGAGAAGGAAGATTTGATTTGACGGCGAAAAAAAATTGATGAGTTGGAGAAATATTGAACAGAGGATTAATGGAGGAGAAGTCGATCACGAGACTGGTCTCGGAATCGAACGAACATTGCCAGATTGCGTTTCAGTAACTAAACAAATCATTATTAATTCAATTAATTATTCATGGACTGGCTCTTAATTGTGTGACTCAGTTCTGTTTTGTACCCTGTTTCGCTGTGGCGTATTAAATTTAATGTTTTAATAATAAAGATTTCATGTCAGTGTCATGAGCATGATTCGGGTGATATGTTCCGAAGTCAACAAAACAAAAAGGTTTTAAAAGGAAAAAATAAAATTTAAACAGATAGCCCAATACCATATAAGAAGAACTTGGTCCAACAAAGCCCATGTCGAAGGCTAAGAGGCCAAACCACACAAGTTGTGAGTATTATGCATGTTCTGGTTGAAAATGTTATGGTTTCATGCAACCCTTGTATTTATGAGTTATGACATATGAGGACATGGAGGTATATATACGCAATCAATGTGATAAAGTCAGTGCAATTCACACTGAATAATCCTATGATCGATAAACTCTGATTTCATATTCTATATGATGGATAATAAAATCTACCAGTTTGTGAACTTACATAAATGAATCATATTCAAAGTGCTAGATACCAGCACTTCTCGTAAACAAAATACTCACACGTTTTATGAGGACCTACTATGAGATTAGCTTAATCCATTCCTGGATGGAACAGATCGTGAATGTAGATTCTACTTATTCTTATCGGCATTTTAGTTTGTTGAACATGTTATGGCTCACATGTTTGTTTAAGGGTACTATTAAATATTTTAAGAGATTAGTACACTACAATATCCAAATTATTTTTTAATGAAAATACTTAGTTAAAATTTGCACATTAGGTTACCATCCCTTTCATTTCTACATCCATCTGAATACTTTTAGATCAGCCTTCTGATTAGATAAACTCAGCAACTAATAAATGATCGGATATACAAATAGAAGAAAAAAGAGATGAAAAATCCCCAGAAGATAGGTAATCTACAATTAATAGAATTAAGTACTCCCTCTGTTTCATTATAGTTGATTTTCTGAATATTTACACACAGATTAAGAAAGCTATAAATGCTCAATTATTTTTGTTAATTAAGTTACTTTTACAACTGATTTCATTATTTTTATTATTACTTTTTCTTTTTTAACTGTGCATTAATAGAGTAAAGCAACATGCATTAATATTATTCATTCAATTTAAAGAAGAGACATGCATTAATTAGATTAATTAGATGTAGGAAATCAAATATTATGAAACAAAAAAAAAAACCTAGAAAATCAACTATAATGAAACAGAGGGAGTATAATATAAGTTACGAACAATCAATACTGATTTGTAAAACGTTTTCTTCGTGACATGCATGATGCATTAAAGGCCTCATAGAGTAGTTAATGTATATATATATATATATATATATGTGTGTCTGATCATTAGTTCACTTTTCGACTTTGTTATAACGAACAATCATACCGGTTTGTTTGTGAAACGTGTATCCCGTGACCAGTGGCGGAGCTACTTGGTTCAAGAGGGGGCAACTACCCCCAATCAAATTTATTTAATTAATGAAAATTATTAAGATATTAAATAAATGTCTTCACTCATAATTCTTTTTTTGCCCCCATAACCAAACTATTTGAATCACATGAGTTTTTGCCCTCAGTGAAAAAATGTTCTGCCTCCGCCACTGCCTGTGACACATATGATATATCAATGAGTTGGTAAAATTATTTGTCTATACTATATATATATATATATATATACAAAATAAAAACATGTTGTATATATATGTATATTAAACAAAACAAGAAAATGTTACAAGACATACTTAAAAGAAAAGAAAGAGAAAAATGTTGACAGAGGAAAAGAAAAAAAACAACAACTATGGATCAGTCTTTGTGTACTGCTTCTTCTATATCATACTCGTTGTTGAAGTCGCAAGATTCGCAAAACCTTATTACAACAACCTTGAAAACCTAATGGAGGAGACAGAAGCAGTAGTAGAAGAAGGATTGTTGGACATGGAGACATCAGAGATACTTCCATGTAACTTGTTGAGATCTCGCTCTGTCTCTGCTCCTTCTCGGAATCACCAGAAGCTCTCCTATCCACATACGGACGGGTACGGAACCCATCCTCCAACTTCGTACAGCGTGAAGTTCCAGTCTTATGGGGGAATATTAGAAAAACGGTGCATTTTAGCTCTGGAGGCGATTTTGGAGGTGATCAAGGTTTAGGGTTTTCGTCTTCTTCACGTTAGCTCGCCGGCGCTGCTTTGGCTGCGATGGCATCTCTGGAGGGTCCTGGTGATCCTCCCTCGTCCACCTGTTACGCAGACGATTTCCTTTGCATCGGTGGTGCAAAATAAGCATGTTTTGAAGAAGTACGATCTGAAAATTTCAAACGAAGAGGGTCAGAATTCAGTTGAGGTTCCTTATGAAGTTTTCGTGAATCCGTCTCCCCTGTGGGAAGATTTTGTTGTTGGAAGGTTTCTGTCGGCAGCACCACATGTCACTAAAGTTCATGTCATTGTTAATAAAATTTGGCCGCAAGGAGTCGATTCCCAAAAGATCGTTATCTAAGTGATCAATGCTACTACAATGAAATTTCGTATTCAGAATCCTAAAACTCGTGCCAGGTTACTAAGGCGGGATATGTGGAATATAGCAGACGTACCTTATGGTGGTATCAAAGTTGACGCCTTATACAGAGGAAGATACGCCCGAACTAACATATGTTCCAATCTGGGTTCATTGAAAAAAGTTCCGATGAATATGTTTTCGTGGAAGGGCTTGAGCTTTATTACCAGTGCAGTGGGAGAACCATAGCATCTACACCCAGAAACAACTGCTTGTTCGACTTTTGATGTAGCAAAAGTGTTTGTCAATGCAGATCTTTTAAAGGATTTACCCAAAACAATGAATTTCTCAAAGCATGGAAATGAATCTTTGGTGGAGTTTAGCTACCCTTGGCTCCCACCAAGATTTTCCACCTGGAATAAATGGGGCCACTTGGACATGGTGTGTGTAGTGAACAAGAGGAAGATAGATGGAAAAGAAATCGAGGAAGTAACCCCGAATACAGAGACTGCAGATGGAGATTCTAATACTCAATTAGTAAACCCGGTCAGTGATGCTTGGATCGAAGCTACATCAGCAGAAAATGAACAGGAGGTTGAAACGGTTGTTAACGCAGATCAGTGGACAAAGGTCTCTCCCTCAAAGTCAGGTCGGAGTCCACACAAATCGAATACTCAGGAGGCTGAGACCTCCCACATCTCTCCTTCTAAGTTTTCGATTCTAAGCAATTCTGGAGAAGAGGGGGAAATACTGGAAACAGAACTAGAAACAGAGGAACTAGTTCACACGGAGAAACAGCAAGCTTTTCAATCGTCTATTCCGAAGCCTAACGAGACGCATCAGAATCGAAAGGAGGTGGTGGAGGGTAACTTGACACGGCCATCACTGCCTCGAGATTCAAAGAACAGACACAGGTTTTTAGTGGAGACTTCTACTCAAGCAAATAAGGATATCCTTATTGTGACGGGTAAAAAAGTCTCTCGCAAAAATAACTAAATGTCGAGTTTCTTTTGGAATGTGCGCGGATTCAACAAAACTTTAAAACATTTCATTGTCAGAAACTGGGTTAGGGAAGAGGAGTTGCAGTTTGGTAGTTTGCTGGAAACGAGGGTAAAAGAAACTAAATCCATGAAGATTGTTGATTCTGTGTTCAGAGACTGGTCTTTCATGGCTAATTATGAAAGTCATCATCTTGGCCGCATTTGGATCGTCTGGAGACCTACTGTTCGTTGTTCTCCTGTTTTCAAGAGTGATCAGTTGATAACATGTTCTATTTTATTGGATGGGGCTGAGGAAGAATTTTTCTGTAGCTTCATCTATGCTTTAAACAGTGGAGGAAAGAAGGTTACTTTGGGAGGATATTAAAAATCATCAGGACTCACCAATGTTTAGAAATAAACCTTGGATGCTCATGGGAGATTTTAATGAGACTTTGGATGTAGAGGAACACTCAAATTCGGAAAACGCACCAAGTATAACATCAGGTATGAGAGATTTTTCAGGAGGTGGTAAAGCATTGCTCATTCTCGGATCTTGGAGGACATGGCCCATTGTTTACTTGGTGCATCAAGAGGGATGAAGGGCTCATATGCAAAAAGTTGGATAGAGTTCTTATGAATGATGTTTGGCTCCATATATATTCACAAGCTTATAGTGTTTTTGAGGCAGGAGGCTGCTCAGATCATCTGAAGTGCAGAATTCAGATTGCTGCTAAAAATCAAAAAGAAAGAGACCATTCAAATTTGTGAATTCTATTGGGAAGATGCCAGAATTTCTACCTCTGGTGGAGGAGTATTGGGCTCATACAGAGGAGTTATTCCATTCCATCTCGGCTTTGTTTAGGTTGTCAAAGAAACTGAAGACTTTAAAACCGGGCATCAGAGAGCTAAGTAAGAAGAAACTAGGGGACTTACCGAATAGAGTTTAACAGGCATATCAGCACCTGTGTGAAAAACAGAGTGCAACTCACCAACAACTAACTCCTGAAAATATTAAAGAAGAAGCAGATGCTTTGGAAAGATGGCAGACAGTAGCAACTTTGGAGGAAGAGTTTTACAAACAAAGGTCTAAACTTCACTGGCTGGAGGTAGGAGATCAAAACACTAAAACCTTCCACAATGCTGTAAAATCAGTGAAGCAAGAAATACGATTAGGGAAATTCAGTGCCCTAATGGGGAGAGGGTGAATACTCAGGAGGGCATAAAGCAGGAAGCAGAGCGATTTTTTCATGAATTTTTCACACACAGACCTGCTGATTTAGAAGATCATTCGGTATCTATGTTGGAAGATCTGCTGGATTTTCGCTGTTCTTTGACCGATTGTGACTTGCTTGAGAAAGAATTTACGGAGGAAGAGATTCAAAAAGTTTTGTTCTCAATGCCTGCAAATAAGTCCCCAGGCCCTGACGGCTATACGAATGAATTTTATCGATCAGCTTGGCCTGTAATAAGGAAGGACTTCATCACTGCGATTCAGTCTTTCTTTATTACTGGTTTCTTGTCGAAAGGGCTTAACACTACCATCCTTGCTCTTATACCAAAGAAATCGGATGCAAAAGAGATGAAGAATTATCGACCGATATCCTGCTGCAACATCATTTACAAAGTAATCTCTAAGATCATTGCGAATAGGCTCAAGCAATTGATGCCAAGACTTATAACTCCAAATCAGTCCGCTTTTGTAAAAGATAGATTGTTGGTGGAGAATCTGCTTTTGGCAACTGAATTAGTCAAAGACTACCACTGTTTCTATATCGTCGTGTTGTGCTCTACAGATTGATATCTCTAAAGCCTTTGATTCGGTGCAGTGGTCTTTTATCCTTAATACACTCTCTGCAATGTGATTTCCTCCAAAATTCATTCACTGAATTAGTCTGTGCGTCACCACTGTCTGCTTCTCGGTTCAGGTGAATGGTGAACTTGCAGGTTTTTTCAGGAGTAGTAGAGGGTTGAGGCAAGGTTGTTCTCTCTCGCCCTACCTTTTTTTCATATGCATGAACGTCTTGTCCAAGTTACTGGATGGTGTGGCACGGAGGAGGGATATTGGATATCATCCGAAATGCCAAAATCTTCCCCTTACTCATTTGAGCTTTGCTGATGACATCATGGTATTTACTTATTCGATCAGTTCTTATGAGTGTCACCAACTTTTGGCTGACATCCTTTCGGTTGCCGAGCTCTTGCACTGATGAAATCGAAAAGCTTTGTTCTGCTTTTCTCTGGTCTGGTCCGGAGTTGAGTACACATAAGACAAAGATCGCATGGAACATAGTTACCAGGACAAAAACAGAGGGTGGATTGGGTTTGCGACCCCTTAGAGAAGTGAACACAGTTAGTTGCCTCAAGTTAATTTGGAGAATTCTCTCATCGGAGGATTCAATGTGGAGTAAGTGGATTCGGATGTATCTGCTTCGCAAGGAATTGTTTTGGTCAGTTAAAGAGACATACAGTTAAGGCTCGTGGATGTGGTGGAAAATCCTAAAGATCAGGCCTCTGGCAAAGTAGTTTCACAAAGTAGAGATCAGGAATGGTGTGGGTACCTCTTTCTGGTTTGATCAATGGTCAGAACAGGGTCGGCTTTTTGATCTTATGGGACCCCGGGACAGTATAGACATAGGGATTTCACTGAATGCTAATATGGATGAAGTTTTGAGATCTCATAGACGACGGAGGCATTGGCATATCCTGCTACAGCAGGTAGAGGACGAGCTTGAATCTATCAAAGGTCAGATCATCACTGCTGCAGATGTTGTTAAATGGAAATGTCGAACTGATACATACAAGCCGAGGTTTCGATCGAAAGACACTTGGTTGCAAATTCGAGAAAATCACCCACGCTGTGGCTGGGATGAAGTGGCTTGGTTTAAATATTCTACTCCGAAATACTCGTTTTTGTTCTGGACTGTAATGCATGACAGGATCTCTACTGGCGAAAGGATGTTGACATGGAATGCAAACGTTGATCCGAGCTGTGTTCTGTGTAATCATCCTTTAGAAACGACACAACACTTGTTTTTCGAATGCTCATATTCAGCTCATATTTGGGAAGCTCTTGTTAAAGGTATCCTGCGGGAGAATTACACAGCAAACTGGAATGTTGTCCTCTGCATCATCAAGAACAGAGAATATGACAAGTTGACTCTGTTCTTACTCCGATACTCTATTCACGCAACCATGTACGGTTTATGGAGAGAGAGGAATGCGCGTCGCCATGGAGAAGCTCCTTCACCACCGCAGCTACTGATCAAAACTTTGGACAAAGCCATTCGTAACCGACTTAGTACGATCAAATCACAAGGAGACAAGGAGTTCGATGAAGGTCTAACTCTAGCGCTTTTGAACTTGGTTGAACTTGGTTTCCAGGAACTACACAAGTTCAACCAAGCGCTTTTGGGCAATCAAGTATAGAAGTTATTACAACGCCCTAATAGTCTTCTTTATCAAGTGCTCAAAGGACGTTACTTAATGGAACTCTTCTTATTGCATCAATGGGAACGAAACCTTCTTACAGATGGCAATCTTTGATGTTTGGTCGCGATCTTCTAAATCTCGGACTGCACACGCGTACTGGAGACGGAGTAGATACAATGATTGGCAGTGACAATTGGATCCCTGTGATACCGCCGCGACCACCACGTTTATTGCCCTATACTAACCCAACGTTACCAGTTAAAACGCTCATCAATCCCGACTCTCATGAATGGGATGATGAACTCCTTGCCGATTTGATTGAACAGGATGATCATCATCTTATTCGGAAGATATTTATCCCATCAGAACCTTCACACGATACTAAGATATGGGATTATACCAATGACGGTATCTATTCGGCTAAATCAGGGTATCAGCTTGCGATAAACCATGACAGCGATGAAAGTGAACCAAAACCACCATTGGCTTCACATTCTGATCTGGCTAAAGGCATTTGGAACTCCACAGTTGTGCCAAAAATAAAGCACTTCATTTGGAGGGTGGCTTCCAGAGCCATTGCTGTTAAATCAAACCTTAGACGGCGAAGGATGAGAATTGATTACCGTTGTACACGGTGCTGCTTTGCCGAAGAGACAAGTGACACATGTTTTCTTTACTTGTCAGTATGCTAACACGGTATGGCGACTCTCTGGTCTCCCAACACAAATCCTTTGTCATCTGTTGGTTATATTAGAAGATAAGTTACGGCTTCTATTTTCAATTCATAATGATACCAACATATCTGAAGAAAATAGACATCTTCCATTCTGGATAATGTGGAGATTATGGAAATGTCGTAATGATCTTGTTTTCAATCGTCAAAGTCTTGGTGAAGAAGGCACACTGAATCGAGCGATAGAGGATATGAAGGAATGGTTGGCTAGTTCACAGAGTTCGTTATCTCCACAAACCGGCCAGAATTTACCTAAAAGAAGAACATCTCGATTAACTAAATGGCGCCCTCCATCTAATGGTTTGGTGAAATATAATTATGATGCTTCACATCACAAAGGAAATAGGGACTCGGGTTTAGGTTGGATTATAAGGAACAGCAATGGCATTTTCCTTGAGGCCAGGATGGGCAACTTTCAAGGTCGTCATTATCCAGCAGAATCATAATGCTCAGCACCAATATGGGTGATGCAAGCTGCTTGGTCGTTAGAATATCGTCACATAGAATTTGAAGGGGACAATCTCATCATCAATCGGCTCATCAATAGTAATCGGCCTAATGAACGACTCTGTTATTACCTCGAGCTCATCCACAAATGGAAATCCATGTTTGAGACGATCAAGTTTATATTTCGGGGTCGAGATACGAACGTTTGTATACATCTCCTAGCTAAAAAAGCAGCCACCTCTCTGATCCCATGGAAATTGTTTTGTTGTTGTCCTAATTTTTTACAAACTTTTGTAACAAACGATTGTACTCCTGAATCTTAATAAAATTATTTAGAGGGCAAAAAAAAAAAGATTGCTGCTTAGCATGCGCTTATAATGGAGTATAAAAAATTAATAATAAATAAAAGAAAAATACGTACACTTTTACTATTGAAAAGTTGAGATCAGAATTGTACGGAAAGATTACACATCTATTATATTAAAACAGAAGCACATTTAATACTTGCTTCCAAACACTCCTAATTTTTTTTAAGTGTTTAAAAATAATTTTAATAATTATTTATATTTAATTTCGAAAATTAATTATTAATTTAAATATTTTTAGAGTTCCTAAAATATAGGTAATTTAGATTTGATTTGATTTGATTAAAAATAATAAATCAGATATTAATTTTTGATTTAAAGATTCTAATTTAAATAATTTCTATACTATTAAACATTTTTATCAAAAATACCTAGAAGTTTTGATAAAAATAAATAATTAACATATGAAAAATAATGGTCATATTTGAAATATAAAATATTTATAATGATGTAAATGATATGATATTTATGTTGCTTATATAATATATTTACTGATGAGGGCATAGAAGCACAAGCTCCACCTATACCAGCCGTGAGACAAGGGCCAAGAACAAGATCCGGAACTAGAGTCTTGAGAGAGGAGTTTAATCAAGCTATTGAAGCCTTACTTAGCATCCACGAGCAAGAAGACTATTTGTACCCAAGCTTTAAGGCCACGGTCCAAGAAAGAAGCCTGGAGGAGCCTAATAAAGAAGAAGCTTACCTGATACAAGACGGCCCAACAACTGAATTGCCACTTCTCCGACCCAACAAAGAAGTGTCCTTGTTCAGCATCAGCATCATACCAACTTAAGATCATCTCAGCCGTCCAACCCACCAAGGTAAGGGAATGAATACGTTTATTTACTTGCCTAATATGGTTTTTCTGTCTTTGGTTTGTTTTACAGGTTCCATTCATAGTTTTAAATCTTAAAATATTTCTTTAGTTATTGCACGAGTCTGTTCCTTTAGAGTCCCAGAAAGTTGTGTCCTTATTATGTAATTTGCTTCAAGTCCCCAAGGGCAAAGCTGCATTGGACTCTCTTATAAAGTCCCCTATAAGCAGCCGTGTATCTTTTACCCTACTATCAATAAAATAACGCAGTTCTTTCAAGCTTTGTCTTGTCTTTGAATTCTCTGAATTCGCTTAAGAGTTGGTGTTTGATCCTCCTCTTGAGAGTTTGTGTTTGATCCATCTCTCGCCGGTCTTATCAAGGTTCAGTCCATAGAGCTTTGTGGCGACCCTCGTTCCACCGTGTGCATCATCATTCGCTTCATTCCTTGACTCAATCAGAGAGAGTTACACAACCAACTGATCGAGTTCCATCCTCTTTTCATATCAAACCCATTTCTGTTCTTGTTGAGAGAGTTACACAACCAACAACAAGGATCCATCCCCATCTATAGGCCCGTGCCTATATCATCTGGTATCAGAGCCGAAAGGTTCCAAAAACCAGGTTTTATCTTTTCATACCTTTCGGTTAAATCTCTTTTGCATCTTTGTTTTCTTGTCGCACACTTTTTCAAAAAAAAAAAGAGTTCTATTCGGTTGCATACATTGCATATCATCTTGAACATTCATCTATATATCTAGAATCATTCTCCTTAGCATCATTCATAGCATCGACTAGTTGCGGCTCATTGTTAGAACGAGAATTTTGTCAAAAGCCCTAGTTAGCCAGAAAAGGAAAGTTTTCATAATCACGTACAAAAAAAAAGAAGAGTTTACATTTCTTTAGCATTGCACCGTCGTTTTATTGCATTAAAAGAAAAGGAAAGAACCAAAAACAACACTTAGTCGTATTTCAATTTCTCCTTTGCACTTGATCTTTGTTTGCTCTTGAACGTAGACACCAATCATGGGAGACAATGCCGCACCTCTACCAGAAGTCATGCAACAACTACTTGACGGTATGAGGACTCTGAGTGACCGTCTTAACTTGATGGAACAACGGTTGCCACCACCAGCCCAACCCAACAACAATGGGAATCAACCGAGGCAACAACATGACCACGATGGAGAAGAGACTGATGATGACATGCCTAATCTCGAAGATGAACTCCCACCTGACCCAAATCACCGACGTGGCAGACGGGATAACCATGGCCAAGGCCAGCAACAGCGCCGTGAAAGAGATAGAGAAGACGAGAGACATGGGGGCAAAGATCTTAAACTTACACCACCTACCTTTGCTGGAAAGGTCAACCCCGAGGCTTACCTGGATTGGGAAAGAAGGATGGATCATATCTTTGATTACTACCAATATTCCAAAGCCAAGAAGGTGTCTCTAGCCGTCGCACAGCTGACCGACAATGCTCTCACTTGGTGGGACCGAGAAGTCTCTGAAAGACGGAGGCTAAGACGTGGCCAGATCACCACTTGGGAGGACATGACATTCCACCTAAGGAAGAGGTATGTGCCCGCTTATTACTTTAGAGACTTACAGAAACGTTTTCGGAAGTTGTCTCAGGGAAACAGGCCCGTAGAAGAGTACTACGAGGAGTTTGAGACCATCAGAAATCGATTGGAGCTTCAAGACTCGGAGGAGACATTGATGGCCTAATTCGTTGATGGCCTCCAAGATAGAATAGCAAGAAAAGTAGAGTGGCAGAACTATGAGCACATGGAGGATCTACTGCACTTTGCTATACAAGCCGAGCAGCATTTCAAGAAGAAAGCGGCCACTAACCGAGGAAAGTCTACTTGGACTCAACCCTTCTCTAAACCGATGGACAAAGGCAAATCTATAGAAGTGGAAAGTCGGTTCAAGAAACCAGCTTCCAGGCCATCAAAGCCGGCTCAACATGAGCAAGGTAAGGTTCCTAATCAAAGGACTCGAGATATAACATGCTTTAAGTGTCAGGGAAAAGGTCACTTTGGAAAAGAATGCCCAAATCAAAGGGTAATGGTATTGAGAGACAATGGAGAGTATGAGTCACAAGATGAGGCCGAGCTAGAAGCCACTGACTCAGAAGAAGAGGTAACCGATTTCCTTGAGGTTGGAGAGATGTTGGTAATCAGGAGATCTCTTGGTGCTCTAAGTGACCCCGAGACACTCCAAAGAGAAAACATCTTTCATACAAGATGTAGCATTGGAAACAAGGTATGTAGTCTCATTATAGATGGTGGCTCTTGTACTAACGTGGCTAGCAAGTATCTTGTAGACAAGTTAGGTCTTGAAAAGACAAAGCACCCAAGCCCATACCGATTAAGATGGCTCAATGATACCACGGAGGTGAGGATTGCGGAGCAAGTTGTCGTGCCATTCAGCATTGGAAAGTATAGTGATCAAGTCACGTGTGATGTTGTACCCATGCAAGCCGGTCACTTGCTCCTTGGGAGGCCATGGCAATTTGACAAAGAAACCGTACACAATGGTCGCACCAATTACTACTCTTTCACTCACAACAACAAGAAGCACAACTTAGCCCCTCTTACACCATCAGAAGTTCATGCAATGCAACAGGCCATG